ATATTGATTAAAAATGGTTTAAGGTATTTAAACATTTAAACACTAAAATTAAATATACTAAAATATAGTTAATAAATGTTTAAAATACTTTAAACAATTTTCAATAATTATTTACTGTTAGCGTGGTATTTGCAACAAAAGGGTTTGTTAAAGTCTTAAGTAAAATAGCTTTCTTATTGAATCTAAAGTAACATCGCCCACCAGTAAATTCATGTATTCAAAAAAAATGCCTTTAAATCAACTCTTTATAATAGGATACTACTAAACATGATAAACGTAAATGATTATTAAAAATTATTGTTGCAGCACTCGTTTAATTAGGAGAAGAGGAGGGGGTCACAACATCATCTTCCTCTTTCAACGTTGCTGGAAAAATAGGTTTCTCTAATTAAATTTGGGGTTCTTTATTGATTGTGCTTATAAATGATATTACATTCATGCATTGCAACTTTGTATTTTATCCATTTTGTTGGCGCTCGTGTGAGTTCGTCTGCAATATTTTTTGTAATCGTTACTTATGTAGCATTTAGATTTATGGCATAATCTTCAACCAATTTTCTAAATGCTTGAAGCCTTTGTCAAATTAGCATTTTGCATTGCCCAGCACATTTTACAGGTTTGTCATGATTCAATTCAGAATTTAACCAATTGAATACACTAGAAAAATCAATTTTGATATCACTTGGGTTCCATTTCAATGCCATATTGACACCTTAAATACATGCATTCAATTCAGCTACTTTGATATGCATTGCATCAGACTTTGGCCGGAGTCATGTTTCATTTTTTATTTTTTTGTGACCAAACAAAGCCTATCCACTTCGCGAAACTTTTGTTAATTGATCAAAATAGCATTCTGGGATGTCCTGCCTGACCTCTTCTGCAACAAACACAAATAGTTTTTTTTTTAATTAATAAACTTTGTTGCTAAATATCTCAATTTTGTATTCAAGATATCTCAATTTTGTAACATTAAGATGAAAAAACGTTTTGTAGAACAAAAAAGGTTTTGTAGAGCATAAAGTTAATGTAATTTTTTTAGAGCATAAAAGTATATTATTATACATAAAAGTTATTTTTGTAGAACAAAAAAGGTTTTGTAGAACATAAAGTTAATGTAATTTTTTTAGAGCATAAAAGTATATTATTATACATAAAAGTTATTAGCATTATACATTATTTAAAGTATTAATATTATACATTATAACATTACAAAGTCTCATTACAAAGAATTAAATTGAAAAAATAATATTATAATAAACAAATGACAAAACATACAATATTTTTGAAATTTTTTCGCTGGAACTGAATGATGTCAACTGGTGGTTTCCTTTTAGAATCAAGAAGCGGAGGAGGATTTGGGATGTTAAAAATAGTAGGAATTGTTGATTGTAACAAACGTTTTCCACCATTATTTGTAGAATAATACATTGTACTTTAAAAATGATTACTTCACAAATAAAAGTTTTTGTTTAAAAATATAAAATCTTTTTTTTCTAAATCTTTCTAAAGACAGTTGATATCATACTGCTTACATCTAAAAATTAAACAATAAAAGAATATGTTTAAATATACTACAATAATATATTTTAAAATACTTCAATAATATGCTTTAAAATACTACAATAATAATTTTATAAACTTTTTATGAAAAAAAAGTTATTATAAATAATATATGAATTAGCTTGCCTTTTATCGTCTTTAAGAAAATGAAAAAATGAAATGCCTTTACAGTTTTATCACAGTTTATAGCAGCACAAAATGATGGCATTGTTATAACTAAGATCAAAATTTTTTAAGGTACATACAAAAATAACTATTTGCTACTTAGTTTATAAAATTCTGAGGTTCGGCAGGACATCCCAGAGTGCTTTGCGATAAAATTAACAAGGAATTCTATAAAATTATGCTCGACTGGATAGGCTTTATAACCAAATCACAACTCATTTTGCCAGCAAACTTGCAGTTAGAGATGCATTTGGTTTGACATTTCATACGCCTTTTGCTTGATCGTATTTGAAGACTTTATACACAACTTCTTGCATCATTTCATTAACGTACTATATCCCTCTTAGTGAGCAAATTTTTAACAATGGGAATCTCAGGTCCTCTCTTCCAAAACATTTCCTTTGTAGATGGATTTACTGTTACTTCCAATCCTAGTGCATGAACTGGATTTTTGCAAAATATTCAAAATAATCAATCCTAGTTCATGAACTGGATTTTTGCAAAATATTATGTTTTACCTGAAAACCCCATTTCTTCAAATGTGCCACCAGCTTTCTTCCATTTCCATTGGTTGTTAAGGTGTTATCAATGTATCCTCTTGTTGATTTAGCAAGTGAAAAAATTTAGTTGGCAAACATATTGTAATATTGAGCTCATCATCACAAGTGCTAGGTTCAAATCTAAACCCAAAAGTGTAAGTGCAGATCGTTGATCTATGTAAATGACATTTTGGTAAAGCCAATATCATTTATGCACATGAATTTGAGGCATGCTCTTTTTAAAAAAACCACTAAGTTGTTGCTATTTTTACTTATGAGCCTCCAATCCCTCATTGAATTGTTAATGACATCTGCATCCCTTGTAGATACTTTTACATAGGTGTTAAGTTTGCATTAATCAAGCACCGGTCTTATTTTCTTTTTATTATCTTGAAGACGCACATCAACGGTAGTAATCCTTTAACTTTTCCCATAAATTTGTCGTCATATTTCATAAGTATGTCTTCTTATTTCCAACGTTTCGCTACTAAATCTTTGTTTGAAACATCTGGCACTTCAGGTGCTGTAAATTCTTATATGGTCTTGTAAATCTTCAACAACAGAGCAGCAAGCAAGTACGCTCTGAGTACTTGCTTGCTGCTCTGTCATCTGCCAAATAAATCGCTTTAGCTGTTCATCTTCATACTGCGGAGATAATAGACATGGACAGTTAGCTTGTTATTCAACGCATTTAAAAGCCATTTTGTTTTTCATTTTTTAAATACTTATCAACGACCTTAACATTTTAACAACAAAATTGTTTGCTACACATAACATTAAAAAAAACATCTTGTGACTCTTGTCAACAATTACTGATCGTTATACAAAACATTATTATAATAAAAATATGCAACGTGTGACTTTTGTCAGTAATTAGCAAAGTTAATTGACAAATTATTGATGCACATTAAAATCACAACTAAAAGCTTGTTGGGATATTTGATAGTAAATTTTATTAACAATAAGTAAGCAACTATAATGTAATAAGCTTTATATTATTAAGTTTATGTTATTATTTACAAAAAAAAATCCAAATATATGTAGGTAGTTAGCTCAAGGCCACAAGCAAAACACAGTAAATTCAAATTGCTACAACTTATTCACAGTGAGAAAATGGGCAGCTGTCAAGCAAAATAAAAATACTGTCAAAATTTACTAGACACTTCAGTCTTGAATTTGGCTTTGTTTTTAGGTATTGCAAACAAGTTTACAGCATTAAATGCATATTAGTAAGTGTATACAAGTTTACAACATATTCTCTCATTTAATGAGACTTTTAAATATGCACTTAACAAGCCATATAGATAAGAATCAAAATCATTCTTATCTATCTTATCTACAAGTTTTAAAAAAAAATTATAATTTAAAAATAGTAACAAGTTTTCAACAAACTATAATGTTCATTTCACCTAAAAAACGTATTTAAAACCTTTTTAAAATTTCGACAAACGATTGTGAATTTAAGAAAATTAAAAAAAAAAAAAAATCTTCGGTTTTTTGCTATAAACATTTATATTTTATGATACTGCAAAGTTTATTTTAGTTTTTTTCATCTTTTCATAATTTACTGACCTGATCATTTAACAAAAATATGTTGTAGTCAATGAAATATCTGACAGAGGCTATAAAATTTTAAAATTGCTTTAAATACACCAAGTTGCTGAATCATTTTATATTTGAGTGGTTTTATGTTTAAGTAAATCAAGTTTCAACTCGTATATCAAATTTTTTAGAGTGCCAAGTTCTCATATGTGACTTTCATCAGGAACAAGCGTGGGAACGTTGGTTTAATAAAGTAAATAATGGTGCCAGTGACATTAAAGTAGAAATGCTAGCCAAGTTAAGGAAAGTTGCCAGAGCTCAATCAAATGTTGATTTAGCAAAAGCTCTGGAAAACTTAAAAAAATGTGAACATTATTTAAATCCAAACCACAAAAATATGTTTAATTGGCTTGAAAAGCAATGGTTACCACATATTGAGGTTTTATTTTACTTTAAAATTTCTTTTCAAGTTCTACACTAAATTCATATATAATTTTGTACCATTTTATTTATAGAGGTGGGCATACTTATATCGTAAAGACAGATTAATGGTCAGTATCAATACTAACAATGGAGTTGAACGTCAAAATGAAACCTTCAAACATTCATATCTGAAAAAGCATAGTAATTCTTGTTTATCAACCATGCTTACTATTCTTATTGAAAACTACTTTCCAGATTTATATAATAGGTAGTTAGTATTTTATTTTATTTTTATATATAGAAGAGAATATTTAGTAATAGTATAGGCTATTAATAAAAAAGTAATCTTATGATCTTTATGCATTATGCATTATTTTGATAAAACTATATTAAATATAGTTTTATCAAAATAATGCAAAGGTTCTTTATTTAAATATACAAAAGTGTTCTATATTAACTGTTTTGTTCACTATTTATTTATAAAGTTAAAAAAGTTCAAATAATACAACTTATCTTAAATATACTTTAATATACATTTTGATAGTCTACTCTAGTGATTTTCCGACATAAAAATTTTTTTTTATTTTATTAAAATTTTAAGTTTTGATTTAGGTAAACTACCATTAACAAAATTTAAAAGTGAACAAACATTGAAATTTTTCACTTAATTTGCTAAGTAACAAATACTAGTGCTACACTATTTTTTGACACAGCATATTAAAACACATTTTCATTTAGGTATTGTGAAATTAATACAAGACCAAGTGGAAATTTCCGCCGATATAGTTCATACTTACCCACATTTTTGCATCATAGACCAAGACACTTTGTTAAACATTGCTTGCAAAAGATGTCTCTAGCTTCGCATATTGATCTGTGTGGAGTTTTTGTAGAAGAGACAGGAAAATTTGCATGTTCATCTTTTGCAAACTCTGCTGAGTTCCATCATATTAGCTTTGGCGATTCAGTCACTATGCCGAATTGCACTTGCCAAGATTGGAAAAGAACTGGGTATCTTTGCAAGCATTTCTTTGCAGTTTTTAATAAATTTCCCTCATGGTCTTGGTACAATTTATCCCAATTATACATTTACTCACCATTTTTGAACTTGGATAAAGAAATTTCTTTTGAAAGAAAACCTTTATTACCACAAAATGAACTGTTACTTACAAACAACAAAGTAGAAGACAGAGAAGCAGATTGTAGCATAAAAACATTCGATTTACTTCCCAAACAAAATAAGTGGCTAAACACTAAGGCATCCTTGTTTCGAGAACTAGCAAAACAGTTAATTAATGAATCATACCTTGTTGAAAATGAAGAGAAATTAGATTATGGAATAGATGTTCTAAAAAAAGTTAAAAAATCATTTGATGAATGCATTCCAAATGAACAAGGTATTCATTTACAGCCTGTTAAAAATAATAAATGTCAGTTGCAAGTATTAAGCATTCCCTTAAGAAAAAAAGTTGCATTATATTCAGGGCGGCATGGAATTGGTGCAGAAAAGTTAAGAGCCTCAAGCAGTTTAAAAATTGAAGTAAATAAAAATCATGGAGTCCTAGTTAAATCTGAAGAAATAGATGCAAATGAAAATATAATTCTTCAACCAGATAATACAGAAGAAAGTATTGAATGGATTATGTTAGACAACAACCTGCCTGTGATACCACAAACTGAAATTGATACTATTGAAAACAATGATATGCTGACAGATATAAGTATCAATGCTGCCCAAAAAATTCTTTTGAATCAGTTTCATATGCAATCTGGGTTTCAAGATACAATTTTAGGTGAAAAATATATGTTTCGTGAGGAAAAGAATGATTTTGTTCAAGTATTATATACTGGGCAATATCATTGGATTACCATTTCTAATGTGAATTGTCCAGCAGACACAATTTTCTACTATGACAGTCTTTTCCATGGCCAAGTAAAGGATCATGTTAAGCAGCAAATATGCAATATATACAAAACAAAAGGGAAAATATTAACTATCCATGTACGCAAATGTCAACAACAAACTAATGGTATGGATTGTGGAATTTTTGCAATTGCTAATGCATTAAACATACTTCACAAATTTGATATTGGAGCTTTATCTCTAGACAAAGACAAAGTTAGAAAACATTTTAGTGAATGCATTAAAAAAAGACATTTTTCTGCCTTTCCAGTTTGCCAATCAAAATCACGTTTCAATGAAGAAAAAATAATCACTTTAGAAATTTCTTGCTCATGCCGTTCAAATTGGGTATGGTATCATGCAAAAAATACAAATCTTCATATGGTACAATGTGATATGTGCAGCGAATGGTACCATAAAAAATGTGAAAATATATCTGATGAGATATTCAATAAAATTAATGCTGAAAAGTCATGGATTTGTTTAGCTTGTAAAAAAAAAGAATTATTTTCACCAACATAAATGATAAATTAGTTATAAATCAAACATTAGTCAAAATGCTAAGCAGTTTTCATTTTATATTATCTCAAAAAAAAAATTTTAATGGAGAAACAGCCCTTATCAAAAATGTGAAATTTGATAAATCTGTACTAATTTAGTAAGTTATAAACTATTTATACAGTATATTTTTTTCATTTCTAGAAAATATAGTTTTAAAAACAGCCATAGAAATTAGTTGTTTTAAATATAAGAAAATTTAATCTTTATAGACTTTCATTATTTAAAATATGCTTTTCCTATTTTAAATATATATGGTTAAAGGCAACTAGCAACTACTTTATATTTTTGTATAATATGTGTTTGCACATATTATACATTGGTTTTTAAAATTGTTATTTATGAGAATATTTGTGGCAACCCCCTTAAAGGGATCCCAAACTCCCAACACATGTTGTGTTCATATTAAAGATAATGTTAAAAAAAAAGGTTGAACCAAATTTTTTTGATTAAAAATAAATAATGAATGCATACCGTGAAAAACAAATGTTGTTTTTTTTGCCAAAGCTCATCTTCTCCATTTTTTTTTCAACTACTCGGAGTCTTCAAATTATGCGTCGCAATCTACAGACTTTGGCAATTCCTTTGAAGCGTGTATAATTCATAAAAGTTTTAGTATTTGGCGTCACGATAGACTTTTAACAAAAGAAACTCTGGAAATATTTTTATTTATTTTTAGTCTAAGTTTTTTTTGGTTATTTGTTTAGTTTTTTTTTTTTTCTACTTTTAATATTTAAAAAGATATTAAAAACCTTAAATATTTTATGCTGGTTTGTTGCTATAAATTGTTATTGCGCCATATATTTAATGTTTATAAATTATATGAATATTTATCTCAAAATTTTTATCTCAAAAATTGTTTTACATTAATTACCTGTATAAAATTAAAAATATTTATCTAAGTAAAAAATATTTATCTTAAAAATTGTTTTACATTAGTTACCCGTATAAAATTAGTAACAGCTTTTTTATTTGGTTAGACGATATTTCGTTTCAATTTGCTTTGCATAAGATTCGGAAAGTCAAACGAAAAAAATAAGTTTAAATAATCACGTCGAAATATATTTAAAACAAATTATTTTAATGACGGGGGTTCGAAAGTTTTTTATAACAAATGTAGGTAAAAAAACTAAATTTACTTATTATTTAGAACGACTAAGCAATAAAAATAAAATGCCCCTAAAATTATGCGAGATTATGTTGTTTATTTGATAACTGTTGTTGGTAATGTTGTTTATGTTGATTATTTTCATAAATATCAAAATAGTTCCAGATTAATCTGTTCGTTGCTTTGCTCATTGTTGATTTATTTCTAATTTAATTTTATCTCAAACTATAACTATATGTTAAAAAAGAAAAGTTTTTATTTCATCGGGCGCTCTTTTTATAAAAGAGTAGAACAAAAGAGAATGAAAAGTTTTGCGTAATTAAACTTTGAATGAATAAGAGTTGTATAGAATATATATTTTTTTTCCGTCACTCGTTCTTTTTTTAGATGAGAGAAATAAAAGTTTAATAGTAAATTTTCGTTGAATAAATGAGAATTGGAAGAGAAAATTGCTTGAAAATTTGTATTTGTTAATTGTGTTTTTAAAGTTTTTTAATTTTTCATTTTAAGAGACAAATGCCAATTACGACACAAATTTGGAAATACCAATTATAATGTTTTTTTATGCGCGTTATGACATTTTAACAATTTAAATTACCATCTATCTTGAATTATTGCCTTTAATTAATGTGTTAATTATTGCATTATTTATTAATAATTTGTCCGTATTTTTGTTAAATATTAGTTGTATAAAACGGGCGAAAATATACAAACTTCATGTTTTTTATTTGATGGTTATAAAATATTAAACAGTAAAATTATAATCAAAATTTATAATGCCGACTTGTGTTGCAATTAATTGTACTTTTAATGCAAAATCAGGATCTCACATATCCTTTCACGAATTTTCATATCTGATACTACTGTCAACTGTATTGTTTAGTGTATTCTTGTACTTTTTTTTCATAATCTTAACAGGTTCTAAATGGTATGGAGTTGCTGACATTTTAAAAATTTCATTATCAAAAATCAAATGTAAAATAAAATGGTATTTCCTTTTTATCCGTATCCAATTCAGCAAATTTAACAATTTAAATTAAATCAGTGTGATCAAAATTTTATAATAAAAAAAGTTAACAATTCATTAAATATCTCTAATTAATACTGTCAGTTTATGAAAGTAATTGTTAATTAATACTTTTTTTCAACGAAAAAACAAAAAATTGTCATAGTGTAAAAATAACCGGAGAAGTTAGAAAGTAGTTCTCATTGTTTAAATAAAAATAATTAAGAATCAGAATATATAATACTGCGCTCTCTTGCGCAAAAACAAGAGACCATATATAAAACGTTCTATATAATGTAAAATACTCTTATGAAAAGCATGAGATTGGTAAGTAAAGCTTTAATATTTGTTTTAATTTAAATAATTAAAGAAATATAAGTAAGATATATAAATCTAAAAATTATTAAGATATCTGTAAAAAATAAGTTGCTCCTATAAAATAAAAATAATTTATTGTTTTTACTTTTTACGATGTTTGGAAAAATAATACAAATAAATTTGTTTTGCTGTATGTTAAAAAAATACTACAGTAGAAAAACGCAGCTTAGTATGATTACACTTTTCTTTTGTTAAGTCTACCGTGACGTCAAATACTAAAACTTTTATGAATTAAACACGCTTCAAAGGAATTGCCAAAGTCTGTAGATTGCGACGCATAATTTGAAGACTCCGAGTAGTTGAAAAAAATGGAGAAGACGAGCTTCTTCAAAAAAAACAACATTTGTTTTTCGCGGTATGCATTCATTATTTATTTTTAATCCAAAAAATTTGGTTCAAACCTTTTTTTTAACATTATCTTTAATATGAACACAACATGTGTTGGGAGTTTGGGATCCCTTTAATGTGTTGTGAATAACAGAATGAGACGGGAATTTAAATATAAGCATGGAAAGAAGCTGCAAGTTGTCTTAACAATATAGTTTAACTGAGTTTGTAGATTTATTAATAGACTCGAAATAAACAAAGAATAATTTTTAAATGCTTTTTATAAATTCATTTTTAGGTCAGCTTTATCTGGTGAATGCATAACAGCTTACAATTATTAATTATTAGAGGAACTATAAAAATAAATGTAAGGAAAAACCAAGTATATAAAATAATGTCAAGCTCATTGGTAAGTTACTATATGTATGTTTGTGTTCTGCTTAAACTTCTGGCGCTGTTGGCTCACCCAAAAATTACTGTATGTTTATTTATGTTCATTTTAAACCACTTGCACAATGTTGACTCACTCGTAAGTTACTCTTTGTTTGTTTGTGTTCTGTTTAAACCTCTAACGCAATGTTGACTCACCCTTAAGTTACTGTATTTTGTTTGTGTTCTGTTTAAACCTTTGGCACAATATTGACTCACTAATAAGTTACTATATGTTTGTTTATATTCTATTTAAACCTCAAGTGCAATATAGACTCACCCATAAGTTACTGCATGTATTTTTGTGTTCTGTTTAAACCTCTAGCGCAATGTTGACTCACCTGTAAGTTATTCTATGTATGTTTGTGTTTAGTTTAAACCTCAGGTGCAATATTGACTCACTTATATGGCAGATTATAAGCATACTAATTGTATGTTTATAATCTGTTTAAACCTCAAGCACAATATTCACTCACATTTAAATTACGGTATGTATGTTCGTGTTCTGTTTAAACCTCTGGCACAATATTGACTAACACGTAAATTACTATATTTATGTTTGTGTTTAGTTTAAACCTCAAGCGCAATTTCGACTCACATGTAAGTTACTGTATGTATGTATGTTTGTGTTCTGTTTAAACCTCTGGCGCGGTGTTGACTTATCTGTAAGTTGCTATATGTTTGTTTGTGTTCTGTTTAAACCTCTGGCGCGGTGTTGACTCACCCGTAAGTTGCTATATGTTTGTTTGTGTTCTGTTTAAACCTCTGGCGCGGTGTTGACTCACCCGTAAGTTGCTATATGTTTGTTTGTGTTCTGTTTAAACCTCTGGCGCGGTGTTGACTCACCCGTAAGTTGCTATATGTTTGTTTGTGTTCTGTTTAAACCTCTGGCGCGGTGTTGACTCACCCGTAAGTTGCTATATGTTTGTTTGTGTTCTGTTTAAACCTCTGGCGCGGTGTTGACTCACCCGTAAGTTGCTATATGTTTGTTTGTGTTCTGTTTAAACCTCTGGCGTGGTGTTGACTCACCCGTAAGTTGCTATATGTTTGTTTGTGTTCTGTTTAAACCTCTGGCGCGGTGTTGACTCACCCGTAAGTTGCTATATGTTTGTCTGTGTTCTGTTTAAACCACTAGCGCAACGTTAACTCATCCATAAGTTACTGTATGTATGTTTATGTTCTGTGGAAACCTCTGACGTGATAATGGCTCAGACATTAGTTACTATATGTTTGTTTGTTTGTTGGTTTAAACCTCCTGCACAATGCTGACTTACACATAAGTTATTGTATAATTGTTTGTGTTCTGTTAAAACCTCTGGCGCAACATTCACTTACTAGTAAGTTACTGTATGTTTGTTATGTTCAATTTAAAACTCAAGCGCAGTATTGTCTCACCAGTAAGTTACTGTATGTATGTTTGTTCTGTTTAAGCATGGTGTTGACTCACCTGTAAGTTACTGTATAATGTTTTGTGTTCTGTTTACCTCTGGCGCAATATTAACTCACTCATAAGTTACTATATGAATGTTTGTGTTGTGTTTAAACCTATGCCGTGGTGTTGATTTTTTTTATTTTTTTTTATTTTATTTCACCTCCTCAAGGCTGAGAAGGCCACTACAGACGAGGAGGCTACTTATTTTGTGGCTATAATCCTCTCTCAACTCTATAACTCCAAAACACAAACCTTGACGAACAAGGCCTCTGCGTGGAGAAACGAGTTGAGCGCGGTACTACCAGGGACGTGGTGGGGATCAAACTCGAAACCACTCGTTTATGAAGCGAGCGCTCTACCACTACACCATTATCGCATGATTTAGCTTTTAGTTACTGTATGTTTGTTTGTGTTCTGTTTAAACCTCTGGTGGTCTGTTACTTTAGCGGCTCTCCAGTTAGTCCACTAAAATACATCCACTGAAAATACACTTTTTAGATAAAGTGCTCTATATGGAGCTATCTTTTTCTGATGGAGTAATACTTATAGAAGTAACTTGCACATTTTCATTTTCGTATATTACTCTAACCTGTTTTAAAGATGTTGCAAATTTACAATTTTGCGCCCATTATTACACACCCGTGTGGCTTAGTTGTCTATAATGTTATTCCTTTTCAACTGAATACTTTTTAGATTTTTATTGTGTCTTATGTTTGTGTTATAACTGTAAACAGTGAAAGAACAATTACAGTAAAAGAATGCGACTTTGCAAAATGATGATTTTGCAATGATAAATACAATCATGCTTGCTGCTTATCAAAATGATAAGCAGCAAGCATGAATGTATTTGTCGAAAAGAGTAATAGACTTATTGTCTATGGGGCTATTAAGGCTAAACATTAGGAGCTTGATTTGGTCCAACACCATTCGTAATGCGTTTTTTAAATTTGTCTGAATGATAAAGGGTATCATTAGAAGAATCAGTCTAATAATGACAACAATTTTCCATACAATAAGAAATAGGTTGTGCATACATTTTTTAAATATAAGCGAAGAATTAGATTTATAGTTTCTATTAGTGGTGAATAGTAAAAGTTAATCAAAAAGAACATAAACGAGAAAACTCTGTAAGAGTGTGTCCATTTATCAAAATAGGCATATCAACATAGCAGCAAACATCTGAGTTAAAAAGCTTGGGTTAAAATTTTCTAATCAAAATGAGCCCTAAACTGTCATAGAAGAGAAATCACATTCGATATAGACTGTTTGTAAACCTTGCATTAGAATTTTTCTAGAAGTTTGACATCTTAAGTTTATTATCATATCCAATATTTTCTTTTTCAACTTTTAATATATTTAAAAGTTTATGCTTTTTTTTTTAGAATTTTTTTAAAGTCCATTTTTATTTCACTCCCTGTTCTTTTATTTTCATTTTATTAATAGAAATGAGAATGTGCAAGAATAAGCAGTTTGCTAATTGATTGTGTATTTTTCTGTCATATGCCTTCAATCGTTCTGCATTAAAAAAATCGTACATGTGAATAGGAAGGAACCTTGACGTGGTTCATGTGCTTTAAAACAAATACCTTTCAGACAGAAACTTTTTGATACCTTGTGTGTGAGTAGTATTTTTATATTGGTAGTTTATAATCTTCTGATTGAAATTCTTGCTTTCAAGGTGTGTTTTTTCTTGTTTATTTAGAATACGTTTTTTACATAGAATGCGTTGAGGATTTTGAGAGATGAAGGTATAATTTTTATCAATTCTAAATACAAGCAGATGATTTAGAGTATTATTAAATAAAACGTAATGTACGGAATTTGACTGAAGTTAGTTTGAATATAGATAACTTGTACAATTTTTTTTTATTACTTAACTTTTTAATTTTCTACTTGGTCGTTCAACTTTAAGTTTTATATCGAAAACAAACGGCAGTGTGAGATCATATCGTAATCTAATCATAAATTTATTTTAGGGAATAAGCAGTATGAAAAATAAATGCTTAAGAAGATGTATAACAACGATAATGAACTTCAAATATTTTTTTAAATGTTATTGTTAATTGCAGTTAATTTATATTAACATATTATTTATGTAACAGTGTGTAAGATATATATGAAATTGTGTATTTAATTTTAAATTTTTTTTATACTAGTTTCATTAATTCATGCTTTTTTTAAGTTTTTTTTAATTTTATTATTATGAAATTAACCTCTTTTAATTAAACTGCGACAGCTTAAATTAGGGATGGCAATCCCGGGATTTCGTAAAAAATGTTTATCCCGAAATCCCGGGATTAGTCTCCGAAATTTCCCGGAATTTCGGGATCGTCATATATATATATATATATATATATATATATATATATATATATATATATATATATATATATATATATATATATATATATATATACATATATAAATATATATACATATAAAATTAAAAATAAAATAAAATTAAAGTATAACTTTTATTAAAAACTCTTGCTCTTTCCACAAGCAAGCGCTTATATTTTTGTTATGTTTTATAATATACTAGTTTTAATATTATGCTATATATAATATATAGTATTATATTAAAACTAGTATATTATAAATATAGATAAAGTTTAGGCGCTTGCTGGTAAAAAGTGCAAGAATTGTTAATAGAAGGTATACATTAATTTAATTTTGAATTTTCTGCTTCCAAAAGTATGCGCAATTTTAATTCCAGTTTTATATCCATTCATTTTAATTTTCAAATGAGTGAATTATGAAAGTTTTTTTTAACGTCATACATATTTATATTTTTTTATTTTTATTTATACTGTGTTACCATTTTAAAGTATTGTTTTATATAATACTTATAAATTATCATTAAATTAATAATTTTTAAGTGTTTGATAAGTGCTTAAAAAGTATTCGATTGCATTTGCGTTTTTACCTATTCAATCCCGGGATTTCCTATGGACAAATTTCTCAATCCCGAAATTCCGGGATTGAAAATTTCCGGGATTTTTGCCATTCCTAGCTGAAATACAGAAATATTGTCTTCATTTGTCTGTCAGGTATTGTCTTCATTTGTCATATTGTCTTCATTTGTCTGTCAGACAGAAATATTGTCTTTATTTATTAATGTATTTTTTAGTAATATTAATGTAATAGGAACTTAAAAAGTGGAACTTTTAATTTATAATGAACATGTATTTACTTTTTAACAGTTGGTTTATATAAAATAGGGAGAGATTTAGCAACGAGACGCGGACAATATTTGACAACGGCGTTTGTTACGAACACGTCGTTTGACTAAAGCCATTTAGCCTTTGTTTCGCAACACGTGCCTAAAAACCGTTATCAACAATGACGGCTATATTCTGCTTGAAATCTGTAGGAAGTTTAGTTTTTTTAGGCTACGCTGAAGATTCAATAGATATTTATAAATGAGTTAAACGATTCCCATGAAACATATCCATATTGGAAATATGATAGGTTTGATATAAATACTAGGTACAATGATGTACAATGTAAAATTATTGTTTTTGGCATCTCAGAAAAAATTGTAAATGCACAGAGAACTACATGCAGTGGTATAGAAAAACCTTGCACTTTGCTAAAATGACTTGCTTTTCAATGTAAATAACGGGAGAGGAGAAATTAGTTAAACAAAAATCAAAGCTTTGTATTTAGAAAAAAACTAAAGCAAAAATTTTTTAATTTTTTTTTTTAAATTAATACAATATTTATTTTAACAAAATTATCTTTTATAAACCGATCCCTTGTTGGCTATTATTCTCAATTTTGTCTTGATACCCTTCATAAGTGATTGTAAAAATGTTGTACGAATTTTCAATTCAAACACGCATTGATACATCTAATCAATTGTTGTGAACATATGGCCTCCCATCCACCCTCATATACATTCTGAGTCAATACTCAGAAGTCTCAGTTGACCAGCCTTTGGGGACATTAGGAGGATTCTTATCAACCGGTACGAAATTGATATTTTCATCTATCCAGGATATGGCCTCATTAGACCTATTAACACTAGCTAAATCTGGCCAAAAAATGTAACTTAAGTACCTTGATGATACTCATCGATGAATGCTCTAAGGCTTTCTTCTAAGCATTCTTTGATATAAATGCTTTATTTTTTTGCAGCCGATGTTGTTAACCGAAAGAATGCTTTCGACATTCCACGCTCAGATAGTGCTATCCAAACAAGTAATTTTTACTTCAAAAAATTTCCTTAAATTTTTATTTGCTTAAAGCTGAACATAATTTGGAAGCTGGTATAATGACGAAATAAAACTAGCTAACCCTCTCTGACATATGGGTCAATTAAGATTAAATACTAAAAAGGGATATTTTACAGCACTCATTTAAAAGTTTATTTTTTAAATCGACACACTAAATTAGAAAAGTACTTATTAAACATTCTCTTGTGTCAACAGCAAGTAAAAAATTGCAACTACCTTTCAGACAAAATAAATGAGACCGCGTATGCAAAACTTTTGTTCGTATTTTTACAATTTTTGGCGAGTCATGCAATGACTTTTTTGTATTTCATGAAACTTATTGTTTGATTTATAAGGTGCATATATATTTATCTAAAAATCTATGTGTTAATTATTATTTCTGATTTACCTAAAAATAATAATTTTAAAAATGAAGTTGTTAGCGTTGACACTTGACTATCTTTTTAAAGTGGTTCATAAAGACATTAAGTCTTTGACAAAATTAACTAGGATATCTAAGGCAACAGTTGCAAGATGTTTAAAGAAAATGAGGAGAGGAATGACCTTGGAGAGAAAGAACTTTATTTAATGGACCAACAACAATTGATTCAATTAGCTCAAAACGATTATACACGATCCGCCCGAAATATTCAAACTGAATTAATCATAAAAGGTAGTCCGAAGGTTGCTTCGAGAACCATTACTTGTTATCTTAGCCGAAGTGGGTACTTCAGTTTTTTTTCCCTAAAATTAACCCCTAATGACTCCTGTTCAAAAAGAAAATAGGGTAAAATAATGTAAAAAACACTTAAGAAAAAGAATCAATGGGTCTTTTGTGATGAGAGTCGTTTTGAGTTATTTTGAGCTCGTGAAGGTTAATGGCAAAGAAACAACCGAGAAATGGCAAACCAAAGTTCAAACAGAGTCTCATGGCTTAGGGGACGATTCGTTCCAAAGGTAATTTTTATTCCAAAGGTACATTGCTTATTATCAAGGGCACTGTGAATAATGAAAAGTACAAAGAAATACTTTCTGAAGCTAAGCTAATTCTAAGCCGTCGTGTTCAAAAATAGAAGTTTAAGATAAAGATTAAGCTTTACTCTTTATTTTCTATTGAACAATTTTATTATTGATTTGTTATTTTGAAAATAAACCTTAAAAAACTCATTTATTTTGTCCGGGAGGTATAAGGTAATCATACATCGTCTTAATAATGAACTATTACGAAAGTGAGGAAAACTATTCGGGAGCAAAAAAAAACAGTAACTAAGAAGAATTTCTTAAAATCTTATATTAATCAAGAAAACACAACAATAAAAGGGAACTCTTTATTGTTTACTTTTAAAGAAAAAAAAATATTCAAATTTTTGCATTAAAGAACAATCAGTGCTGAAACGTCGAGAGCATATTTGAGCACCATATTAGTGTCTCAATATAATATAAAGAAACACTGCAACAATGAAATATGTTTTTTTTGTTCAGATTTACAAATCAGCATAACATGAAAATGGAAGAGAGTTCTAATAAAGCGAATAAGAGATTTTTAAAGGTAAAGAATGGAATCAGAAATAATAAAATGGCAAGCACGATAAAGAGAAGAACCTTAAAAGATGTTAACTTAGATGTTAACGGTTTCTATGAGAGGTCAGTAGTGAACGATGATTCAAGCAGATGCGAAGAAGAGAACTCAGTGAGAGGGTACCCATTCGTCAATATAGAAAGACACTGCAAGCCCCAACCTAATACAGAAGTGAGATCAGATTCAATATTGGCTGCCTGTTCTAACCAATTGAAGATCTCTGAGTTACCCAAAAGTTACTAGAAATGAAGAATGTTGAGGATGACTTTAATAAAGCGGTATGAAATGTTCCGAGATTTTTATATGTGTTTGCGGTTAAAAGATAAAACCTTGTGGTAGGAAAAAGAAGAGTGCTGTCTATCTAGGATAACTTTAATGCTAAAAATGGAGAGGAAAGATTTTCATAACTTTTGTTAATACGCAATGCAAAGGTTTTATGAATACTTGGAGTCAGAACTTTTGTACCTTTTTTTTTAAAGATTTAGAAAAAGCAGTTAGTTATTAAAGTTACCAAAACTTACTAGAAAATCAGCAGTAATAAACTAAGCAATAAAAAATCTGCAGTATCAAAAATCAGCAGTAGAACCTTAAGACCGGAAAAAATATTGACCGTTAGAAAGTAAGTTATTGAATTGCGTTATAAATGCATTAGATAATAACTTATTTTTTCTAGTAACTCACAACTTAGACCTGTTTGTTTGCAGCTTATTAGGAGCGAATTAGAGAGTGAAAAAATATATAGCAGCTTAGCAAAAAGTAATGACATGAACAAAAATACCATCATAAATAAATAATACTATAAAATAATGAAAATAATTATACAATTTACAAACATTAGAAAAAAGAATAAATAAGCAACCACAAATAAATAATTTATCAAAAATTTATGTATTTTTATCAAAATAAAAAATAAGAATTTTTGATCAAAACTTACTATCAAATAATGCTGCATTTCTTCGCTATGGAGACATAAAAACATTTTTTGAATTCAACTTAACTCTTAGTTTATGATTCAATAGTTAAACATCGGATTTCGAGGTTCAACTATCAAAATCATTTCTAACATTTGAGAAAGTCATATTGTTGTGAAAGTTGGTGAGTTAAGATAGCTAAGATCCTTAAAATAGAGAACATTTAAAAGTTGCATCTATGTTATGGAAAAAAAAATATATATTTATTTGTCAAATTCTAAATTGATATATATATATATATATATATATATATATATATATATATATATATACATATATATATATATATATATATATATATATATATATATATATATATATATATATATATATATATATATATACGTATATATATATACATATACAAATATATATATATATATATATATATATATATATATATATATATATATACAAATATATATATATATTTATTTATATATATATAAATAAAAGTTAAATTTTAATTTAGTTACCCTCTAATTTGATATGGTTTGTGGTCATGAAAATAAATTCAAAACTGAAAGCATAACATAAATAATATTTTAGTGAATACTCAAAAATTTCAAAGTTTAAAAAATGTTTTTTTAATAAAACAGTAAACTTTCTTATAAAATAAGTTTGATTGAATATAAATGTTTACAAAATGTCTATGTTAAAATGTTTACATGCATATTGATATATATATATATATATATATATATATATATATATATATATATATATATATATATATATATATATATAGATATATATATATATATAGATATATATATATATATATATATATATATATATATATATATATATATATATATATATATATATATATATATATATATATATATATATATAAAGTAAACCTTGATCATAATCTAATGTTTTGTTTTGTTATTGTTTTTCATGTTTACATTAAAAAAGAGTTTCATATAGAACTTAAGTTTATTTTATTCTCATTTTCTTTACCAAAACTCAACAGATAAAATAAAAGTAAAAACTTATTATTCAGTCAGAGCCCCCCAAAAAAATTGCAAAGTGTATATTATCAAAAGTAGGAAAACCTGGTAAAAAAAAACTCTACATTAGAGGACATGTGAAAGCAAATTATTTAAAAATTAAAAATTAAATAAAAGATATTTAAGTTTTAAAAATAAAAACACAGAAGAAACTTGTTTTTGTATCTACTTTAAATAGTATAGAATGCAATAAAAAAAAATAGACTAAAGGAAAAATTAATTTTTCCACTTACATAAAACAACAAAAATTAACATAAGCTTAAGTAGAAATAATACGTGTAGATATCTAACCTTAATTTTTAGTTCCAGATTAAATATTTAACAGACTAATTAAGCATCTTAAACATAGTTACTCCAACATTTCGAGAATACATGAATTAAATAGCTGTCCTTCTAATTTTTTTAAAAATTGGAAATACAAATTATGAAATATTATGCAGTACACTAAATAATCTCAACTTAACATAAGATGCTTTCAAGCGTTGTAAATATGTTGAAAATTTCAAGAATTCTTTAACATGATTGATAAGTAACCAACTAACAAAGTTTACCATTGTACTCTCTTACAACAATGCAAAGACGAAACTGAATGATAGCTTGTTTGAACAATAATTATATAAATTGTTCTACCTAAACTCTTCAGGTTTGTGTAACTGAACGTAACAGCAAAGCTTATACTTAATTTATAGCTAAGGCTAGAAAACAGTATTTTATTTTCACTGTTCTTCAACTTTAATAAACATGATACATAAAATTCATCAACAGCTAACTTTTTTTTTATGCTTAGTTATACAGGGTTTAGTGAAACATAATGGAACATAGTGGAACAAAATGTATAACTTAGTTATACAGAGAGTGGAACAAATGGAACACAAAAAACAATAACATTGTCTCAAGTTCATTATATAATTTGTAATGGAAGTTTCAGAAAATGTAGGTGGATAAAAAACTTTATTAGAAGAGTTAAATGAAAATTTCATCACAAACTTTATGTTTTGAGGTATATTAATAAAAAAAAAAACAGAATAATTTTACTAAAATCCGAATGTTTCTACCAAATTTAATTTTGTTTTCAAACTTTAAATGATTTCTTTGACAAAGAAACAAAGAAATTGTAAAATATTATTTATAAAAAAATTTAAAAAAAAAATCTTAATAGTTTTTTGTCTCAGCCTAATTTCTAATAAATAGACAAGGGAAATAACTTATTTTAAATCATAAGAAACTTTAATATAAACAAATTATATTCAATATGCATATTGCATTTTACATCGTATTTAATATTAATGTATACATTAATATTAAATATGATGTAAAATGTACAAATACAGCAAACTAGATATTTTACGTCATAAATCCAAATAAATATTTACATTTAATTTAAATGAACTTAAATTAAGTTCATAAATTAAAAAGTTAAAGCCAAAGTTATAAAGAAGCATTAAAATTACGTTTTTCACACGTTATTTCGTTAGGTAGTGAATGCTTTTGTACCGTAATTAAACAAATACCGTAAATGTATCAAAACAAATAATTATTCATGCTTAAAATAATTATGTAAAATAAATTACAAAATTTACGGACCTAAAGACGCCACCTGACTTTGCGGTATGGAAACATGCATCAACCAGTTTAATATGGCAATTATTATAAGAACATGTAACTTTAAAGCATGACCAAAAACACCGCAGATCTATATTATATTGAAAAAAGAAGCTTCACAAGATTTGTCATTTTGGCCATCTATTTTGGGTAAAATAAGGTCTTAATTTTTCGTTGCTATGACGTTGCTAAGGTAAACAAAAAAACTAGCTAACAAAATATGTTATTTAAAATACTTTTAATTTAATCAAACCTAAACAAGTCATATATCAGCAGATAGAGGATAAATTTTTACATAAATACAATATATTTCCTTTTTTTTCAATTTTTGATCAAAAATCTCTATTTTTCATAGGCCTACCACCTTAAGACGCATAACATAAAAACTACAAATATTTAAATTTAAACATCTATTGATATTTTATAAATATTTTTTTAGTTACAAGTTATTTATAAATATGTATTTAAAATAAATAAATATTCTTACGCATGAATGAAAAATGTTACTATTATTAGTGTCACGGCATGACAAACTTAAAGAAGACCAAATTGAAATTTCTAAATGAAAGACTATATAATTATTATAATAAATTTTCAATTTGAAAAGCAAGAGTCCAGGAGAATGTTTTCAGGAGAATGTTAAATGAGATACTATTTATTATCAAGTAATTACGATTATTTATCAAAAAAAAATCAAAAAAAACATTTACGCTCACTATTTTGAGTATAAGTGTTAGTACACTTATAGGTAATACGTGTTACACGTATGAGTAATACTTATACGATAATATACGGTAAATTCATTTTATAAATTAATTACAATAAAATTGATAATACGTAAAAATAAAATAATAATACGTAGGTAAATATATAGGTAGGTAGTACAAGTTAAGGAGCAGCAAAGTCGACTTAAGACTCGAATTTAATTAAAAGACGAATTTAGATCATATGCGTATAGCGAATTTAACGAATTTGGACTTCTAAACCGAATATAACTAAGAGCCGATTATAAATTATAAAAACATGCCTTAAAAATACTTTTCGAATATTGACTCGGAGTTAATGTTTTGAAAGAGGGTTATAACCAATAGAAACAGGTTGATATACATAAAACATAATATGTTTTATAATTTTTCTTCTTTTGAATTGAAAAAAAAACGTATAACTTTCGAATTTAACTGAAAGTTAAATGAAATTTTGAAATTGTTACCAAATTTAACTGAAAGCCGAATTTCTATTTCAACTTCGGTACCGAAGTCGAAGCCGAAGTCAACTTCTCCTTTCAGTAAACTTCGTAATCTGAATTTTAACGAATAATCGCCAGTCCTTAGTACAAGTATAGGTAATACGTGTACTAGCACCCGATTAATGGGTTTATAAGTTAATTCATTTTAATAAATCATGCTTAAAAAATTCAAAAGCAACATTTTAGTTCAAGGAAGATGTCACATGACCAACTATTCCTTTTTTTGTGTACGAAATAAACAAAAACAAATCGAGATAAACATTTTTATTTTCATATAATATAAATAGAAATTGCCCAAAAATATTATTAAATTTATAATTATTTAAGCAACTAATACAGTATCTAATAAAGTGATTTTTTCTTTGTCATCGGATTGCAAGATACATTTAAAATACTAATTGTTTAGGGATTTCCCAATTAAAACCTGGCTTAAAATGACCATAGACACTGGTTTTTTCGTAAATAGGTTTCTTCAAATCAAGTTCCCTAAAAAAAAAAAAAAAAATGGAGGGAAAATTTTATTTTAAACAATAATAAAGACAAGGCATAATTTTAAACTAAAGGTTATTTAACATACCTAACTATAACTCCAGGACGAAGATCAAAATTATTATTGATTATTTCCAACAATTCAGAATTTGTTTTTTTACCAGTTCCGTACGTCTCAATAGTCATTGAGAGAGGTTTAGAAATACCAATAGCATAAGATACTTGCAATAAACAACGCCGAGCTAAACCTGCAGCAACAATTGATTTTGCAACCCAGCGAGCAGCATATGCAGCTGAACGATCTACCTGAATATATACCAAAAATCTTTTTTTTACAACTAAATACACTTAAAAAACATTTCTTATTAATTACAATTTCCTTCACACCTTTGAAAAATCTTTCCCTGAAAAAGCTCCACCACCGTGGGCGCCCCAACCTCCATATGTATCTACTATGATTTTACGGCCTGTTAAACCACAATCACCCTAAAATATTTAAAAAAGTAATTTCAAGATATTTTTTTTTAATTTAAGAAATTCAAATAACAAAAAAAAACCAAAAAAGATAAAACAAAAAAATATACATATCAAACAAATTAAAATAACAACAAGACATTCTAAGAAAAATACCATAGGACCACCAATAATAAAGCTGCCAGAGGCTTGAAGATGGTAGATAGTCCGGTCATCCAACATTTTTGGATCAATAACTGTCTGTATAATAAAATGAACTCAAATTACAAAATATTCTAAATTAAAAGATAATACCTCATGTTTTTATATAAGATAATAATATCTTATATAAAAAACTAATACTATTAATAATTAGAAATTACATTAATAATTTTTTCTCTAATGTCTTGACTTATTTTCTCTTTAGTCACATTTTCCGAATGTTGTGTCGATACGACTATTGTATGAACTCTTAATGGTACACAAGCACCATTATCCATTTTGTATTCAATTGTTACTTGAGTTTTTGAATCAGGACGCAAATAAGGCATAGCACCATTTCGTCTATTTTCTGCAAGAGCTTGGTTTAATCTATGAGCATAAACACAGGTAAGCGGCATAAGTTCTTCTGTTTCATCGGTTGCATATCCAAACATGAGTCCCTGGTCACCAGCACCTGTAAAAAAAAAAATAAATAACGATAATTCATTATATCTAGAGTTAAAGTGAAGCCTAGATTTTTTTTATTATTAAAATCACTTCCTCAAGGCTCCAGAGGGCCATTACACACTTTAAAATATTATAGCGTCTGTATGATATTTTGTTGAATACAACATATTTCCGTTAAATGATCAGGTCTGTGAATTATGAAAAGACGAAAAAAATAAAAATAATAAACTTCGCGGTATCATAAAATATAAATGTTTGTAGTGAGAAAACCCAGACCGAAGATTCTTTTTTTTTTTTTTAAAATCTTAAAATTTTAACTTATAAGATTTTAACTAAATTCATGTTAACGCCGATGTATGAAACTGATCTAAAGACTCCAAAATGTTCTTTAGATTTACTATTGGGATAGTAAAAAGGTTTTGAAAATTATATATAAAAAAGAAAATTTTCTTTAAGTATTAAAAAAATCAGCAAAAAAAAATTATAACATCTAAAGCTCTTGTTTGAAAATTAAACGCTGATAAAATCATGCTAATTTCAAATAAAAGAATTCGAATAATGAGGTGATTTCTCTGTTGTTGTTTTTTAAATAAAACTATTAAATTTTATTTTCTTAATTTGCAAATTTTTTCAACCCTGAACTCTGAATTTTTTTAAACAAGTTGGCCACTACACTGAAAAATAGGTTAAGTGTAGTACTTCCAGAGGTGTAATGTGGAAATTTGAACCTTAATTGTGAGTCAAATTATTTAAAACTTGTCTACTAACACATTTTAAAATAATAATAAAAACAAAAAGCTTATTAAGTTCTTTATCTATTATATATATATATATATATATATATATATATATATATATATATATATATATATATATATATATATATATATATATATATATATATATATATATATATATATATATATATATATATTACAGGTAAAAATATAATAAATGAAACAAACAAAACAAGTAACAGGTAGTTGGTACTACCTGTTACTTGTTTTGTTTGTTATATATATATATATTACAGGATTATTTCTCAGATTTTTGATGTAATGTTGTTTGTTGTTTATCGTTGATTGTAGCTAAGCTAAGCTGTTGCTAACTATAGTCTTTTAATGTTGGAGTTATCTCTGTAAGTGATGACTCCATCATTTAAAGTGCAAATGCTTTCACTATGAAAATTGATTTTATAGGGTAACAAATCCTTTTATTATGAAAATTACACAAAATATAATAAATGCAAAGACTTTCAAAGCAGAAAAAAGAAAATTTCTTTTCAAAATGTCTTATAACTAAAATTAGAAACTTTAATTATAACTTTACCAATTTTCCATTTTCTGCAGATGCGCTTATATATATTAAATATGACTGGGGTTGGCATTAAACAACCTGCCCAAAAAAACCCACCTCATAAAACCCACCTAAAAAACCTGGGCAATCTGGGTTTTATTGGGTTATTTTGAAGATATTTTATAATTTTATGAACTATTATAACCAAATTTAACACTATAACTAAACTAAACTATTGTTAACTATTATTATTAGTTATTATAACCAACAATAACAAACATTTATTATTATTATTATTATTACAACCAACAATTACTAATGTTTCCAAATAATGAATCATTATTTGGAATTACATTATCACAATTTTTATTAAAATATTTTTATAGATTGTAATTTTTTTTATCTTTATTATATATTTATTTTTTTATCTATATTATTCATCTACAAAACCGAAAAGGCCACTACAGTTGAGGAGGCTACCTTATTGTGGTCACAAACTCTGAAACACAAGCCTTTATGAACAAGGCCAATGTGCATAGAAACAAGTTCGAAATAAATCAATAAATATAGATTTAACGTGAAATTTTTTTTTATATTGCAATTTTAAATTATGTTTAAAAATCTTTTTCAAAACAATTTGAAAACTTCTTTTTATAAATTATTTAATAAAATTATATAAGATATATTAGTTAAAAATTATACTAATTTTCAATATTAAATTAAAAAAAAATTTAATAGATATAAAATAAAATACCCCCCCCCCAAAAAAAAAAAAAAAGTTAACCCAACAAAACCCAAAATTACCCACCACTGGGCTGGGTTTTTGCCAACCCTGAATATGATGAAGCGCAAGATTGTGGTTTTCGTATAAATAATTCTTACAAAAAGAGAAGTGCAAGTTATTTTAATTTAAGTTATTTAAATTTTATTAACTCAAATCATATTTCTTTCGATACTTTAAATAAATTATTTTTAAAAAAAGCATCAATCTGAAATCAATGGATAAATTTTAATGGATAAATAAGATCCTTTTCTATAAATGACCTTTTTTCAACTTGAAAAAAGCTATACTTTTAATAATTTTATCAACACTGTTTTTTTCAACCCTTCTTATAAAATACATATGATTTTGTCTTACATTTAAATATTAAACAAAATGTCAAACAGTTTACAATTCACTAAAGGTCGCTTAGCCAAAAAATTAATTAAACAAGATGATTTATAATTCTACTCTTAAAATTGTTAAACAAATCGAATTACAAAGAGCATGTTAATTAAATGCAAAATGCAAGACAAGCCATTTAAGCTTTGCATAATAAATTAAACAATAACATTTCAAAATCAGAACCTGAAAATTTTATGTTTATTTGATTTTAAAAACATTACCGATCTCTTCTTCCTTTTCTTTTCCAATATGAACAGCCTGTGCAATTTCCTTTTGTTGTTGTTCAATGGCTACCAGTACATTCATAGTTTTGTAGTCAAAACCTTTAGATGAATCATCATATCCAATTCTTTTCACAGTATCACGTATAATTTTTTGATAATCAACAAAAGCATTGGAAGTAATTTCTCCAGCGACTAATACCATTCCTGTTTTGGCGAGTGTTTCTAAAAAATAATTGATTGTTGTTTTTTAAAAAAACCTTCAAAAAAAAAAAAAAAAAAAAATTAGAAAAATTAGCCACTAATTTTTTCCCTAATTTCTTTTTTTTTAAAAAAAGACTTTAGGGAAAATTAAAATTAATTTTTGTTAAAAGAATTTAGAGATTTAACACAAAAATTGCTTATCGTCTGGGCAATGTGCAAAACTGCGGAACTAGTAATTGAAAATACCATGTATCTACACTACAGATTTTTTACTGGAGAAAGTTAAAACTTTATATATTTTTTTATTTCAACAGATTTTGGGCTCATTTTAGTATAAAGAATACTATTCATGTTTTTTGTAATGTCAACAATAGATATTTATTGTTAAAATTAATAATATCCAATTATAGTAGCCAATGCTAGTTAGGCAGTTTTGCACTATTCCCAACAATTGTTTTGAAGTTTCTCTCTAAAGAGAAAAGTTCAGTGGTATTAGCCATAAACATAAGACAAAGGGGGCAACGTTTCCAGAAATTATTTTATAACAGTTTAAAAATTATATTTGCACCAGTAGGTGAATTATCTGTGGATGTTATGAACATATTATTTATTTGCAAGCGTGATTTATCTGTGGATGTTATGCGTGAATTATCTGTGGATGTTATGCGTGAATTATCTGTGGATGTTATAAACATATTATTTATTTGCGAACAGAAAGTTAACAAAAGGGTTTCTTTAAACAGGATTGTTAGGGGTTCAATGTAAAGATTGTGGTGACTCCGGTCACCCATATCTACTTTGAACCCCTGTATGTTTATATAAATCATTATCTTTTTAATTTTACGAAAACCTTTATTAATGATTGGACGCCTTTCTTGTATTTATTTTTTACATGAACAGCAAAATATGTTGAAAAATAAATGTAGTAGTTAATTAAAGGAATTTGTTTTTATCTTTTGGTTTTGAGAGGAAAAAATTAAGATGAATATAGAAAAGAAACTGAAACAAATAAATGGAAAAACAGTGTTGGTAAGTTTTCTTATTTTAAAAATGAAAAGGAAGATGCACCTGGACCATTTTTAGATTAACTTAATTCCATTTCTAACAGGAATAAGTGCATTATAATCATATTTATTTATAGCAGTGAAACATGGGTAAAAAAGGTTGATGATAATCAGTATCTTCAAAGGACATCTTGTCACTTCTAAAAAAAATGGATGATTGTTTAGGTTACCATATTTTACAAAAGTAAGTCTAGAGTTGTATATAATAAAAAGAAAAACGGTTTTCTGAAATTTTCTTTTGAAAAAATTAAATGACTTTATCTCATGAACCAAAACAAGTTTTATAGTTTAAAACCCTGAATTAAGAAAACAAGTCAGGCACAGAGTTACCAAATTATTTTAATTTTTACTTAATAACAACATTTATCTCTTACTTGTAATAATGCAAAATAAACCACCTTTAAATGATATTTCTATTGGTTTCCAAATGTAAATTTTTAATAGATTTTGATGTAATTTTTATTAAATATTAAAAAATATAGTTTTTTTTATGAATTTTTATTAAAATTGTAATTTTTATAAAAAAATTTTATTTATTTACAAAAATTTTATATTTATTATTATAAACTGATAATAAATTATAAAAATGCAAAACATATATATATATATATATATATATATATATATATATATATATATATATAATATATATATTATTTTGAAAAGTTTTTAATACATTATTTTTTAATTTAATATTTATTAATTGAAAATTTTTATTCATTTCAAGAGAATTACCGCATGCAACTTTTGCATTGGGATCACCTTCCAAATGAGCATCTAGAATTGCATCAGAAACTTGATCACATAACTTGTCTAAAAAAAAAAATTACTTTGTTTTTATATAATTACTACCATATATAATCAATGTATTAACATTTGATATCATGTATTAAAACATGTATTTTATATATCAGCTGAAGTAAACCGATTTATTTGTAAAAAGTTCAAATTATTACTTATGCATGGCCCACATACATGTTTGCAACAAAAGAACAAGCAGAATTCATACTTTTTTATTTAGAAAAAAATATTTTAGTTTGTTTTCAATCAATTATATATTTGATATAAAGTAGTTAAGTTGTATATCATTTCAGTTGTATTTCAAAAATGTATCATGAACATAAATGTATATTTACTTTTCAACAAGAAAAATAAAAATGTGTTAAAACAAATAAGAAAAAATTATAATTTTTCTGCTTATTATTTCACCACTAATTGTAGTATTAAAACTTAAATAACTCATGAGAACAAATATCTCAGCTTGTTTTTACTAGGTAAAAAATAACGCTGTTATCTATAAAAATAATGCTATTATCAATCTTTACAAGAAAAACGTGTAAAATTTTTTTACTAATAATTTCTAAATCTGAAAATTTTTTGTATTAAATAGCTTTTGTCCAAACTATTTTGTGTCTTAAGCAGTAAAAAATACCAATCTTTACTTTTACTTTCGATCGGAAAATATGCAAAATCTTAAAAACGTTTGATTTGTCAAAAAAAATATGAGAATTAACAAATAAATCGAAAGACAACACAAGAATTTTTTTAAATTAACTGGGTGATAGATGAGTTAATTGGGTGGGCGTTGGCCACCCAGTTAGATGAAAAAAAACATTTTCTGAGACCAGCACACTAAAAACTAACAAAAACTGAACAAAATTTACTTACCAGGGTGACCTTCTCCTACAGATTCTGAAGTAAATAGAAAAGTGCTATCGTTTGACATTTTTGAATACTGATAATTGTTAAATATGCAAACTTGCGTGGAAATCACTCGCCTTCAATTAAGTCGAATGTTGCGAAAAATGGTACATGAGTTTGCGAAACAATGACGTTATATCGTCAGCCGAGAACCACGAGGCCGTATATTCACATTTTGTGTTTTTTCAGTTTATTATCAATAAATATTTAACGATCAATGGAGTATGTGTCCAATAAATCTAGCTTCAAGAATGATACAACTTTAAAAACATTTTAAAAACTACTCGGACATTTTGGCAGAAAGTCTTTTCAAATTAAATTTTAAAACTTGATTTTCCCGGAAACACAAAATGTAGACATACTTGGTTCTCGGCTGACGATATGTCGACGGTAAAAAGATAATCGCCAAAATAATAAGCCAATTTCTTGGCTTGGGCGGTTTCAGCATTTTAATACATTATAAACATCAAGTATATTCAACCTATAAAATGCTTATAAGTGTGTATAGCTTTATCATTAAACATGTTCAAAAAATAATAATAATATAATTTTGCATAAACTTATTATGTAATATTTCCATAACTTTTGTCCGTTCTGTTACCACGCTATCGATGCATCCATATTTCAACTATTCTTATTCTCATAACAAATCCAATTTTCCGCTCTTGAAAAAAAAAGGTTCTCAAACTTGAGTTTCATTAGCACAGGTTCCAGATGTGCATAAATTGTTAGAAGGATTATGTTTCAAAGAGCTTAGTATAGTTGTAAATTCTGAAGATAGATTCTTTTATATAAGTGCAACAACAAATATTTTAAATAATTTTTTCTTTCAAAACAATTAGTTTATTAGGTTAGACATGTGTCTCAAAAAACAAACGATATTTCGTGCTGTGTTTTTTATGAAAATTTACTAGTTAATACAGTACAGACGCTTTTTTCTCTTTTATTGTTATCTTTATAATAAAATAGATAAATAATTAAATAAAATTAATTTCTTGAAACAAAAAAGATTTTTTTTATTATTACGGCCTTAGGACAAAATATTAGAACGGATAGACGTGAGGAAATGACTCAAATATGAAAATTAATTGTTTTAATTTGAAAGCCAGTCAAAAATAAAAAATGCTAAAAAAAAAATTAGTTAAAAGTTTTTAGTTTAAATTTTTTTTCGCCTTAAACTAGGGTTGTTCGCCGAAAAACAAAAATTGCGAAAATTTCGCATCTTTATCTACCGTAATAGAATTGTTATTGCGGAAGTTACACATGCTGAAATGCACATTTCATAACGCACATAAGTTAAGTTGAACTCTCAATGGGAACAGATAAATAGTACGACTTAGGTCCGAGTTAAGCGTAGCTCTTGGTATTTATAGAACGTTCAAGGAAAATTGAAAAACTTTCCAACTTAGTAAAAGGGGCTGTCCATAATTGATATCTGTGATTTTTCTCAATTTTTCACCCCCTTCCCTCTTTGTCAAACTCTGTCAATTTTTGGCGTAACCCCTCTTATGTATGATGTCAAATTTTGTAGCGTTGTAACATTTTTAGTGTATCTTAAACCTGTTCTGCTTGTGTTTTTTAATCAGAAAAAAGTTTAAATATTAGCTTTAGCTATCCTAGATTTTAAAATGAAAAGACATTCTAAAAACGCAAATGGGAAACTAATAGGATTTTATTGCCTTTCACGTGTAGAAGCTATTCAGAACGAATACAAAAAACTTTTTTAAACAGTTGGAATGTATTGAGATCATGATCACATTTGGTCACAATACGACTTTAAACTAAAGCCACTATTTTAATTGAAAAGGCTTTGAAATTTATATAAACAAAACCATATAAATACAAAAAAGACTTCACACGGTTTTGTTGTTATTTATAACTCTACCATTTTTATTTTTTCCCTACAAACCACGTTATATGAATTTGGCTAATACGAACAGATTTTAAAGGTATTTAATCAAAAATTTTAAATATATATATATTTATTTCTAAATTTAAACCAACAAAAACAACAAAAACCGAAGTTTATAACAACATTAATTCAGCTACATTAAAACCAAAACAAAAATACACAGCATAAGTCAACTTTTTATTTTCTTATACCCATCAACCTTTAGTAACGCGCACACTTTTAGAAATTATTGAAACAGGTATATTTTATTAGAAATATGCTTAAGCATATTTTTGAGCCTCTTTTTACTTTTTGCTTAAGCATATTCAAACCTGTTTCAAAAATTTCATACGCTTTAAAAAACGACATGTATATTCCTCCCCGTAATTCTTACTTTTACTATACGTAATGAGTTCAAAAAACATCATTATATATTTATTATGGCACGTTTCGAAAGTTTGTTTCCGTTAAGAACTCTTTCGTATGTTGTGATGCAAAATAATGTTGTGATGCAAAATTTTGTTTTTTATCAATATTTCTAAAAATAAAATCATAAAAATTTAAAATGTTATTATACTGAAAATAAAAGTTCATTATAAACATTTTGGGGTTTAAAGATGTTAGTTTTTACAATTAAAATTAGTCTGGCAAATAAATTTTCTTTATAGACTTCAAAACGTCGTTTGGCGAAAATGCTTGTTTTGCTTGTGCGACTTCCGAAACCACTACTTTCGTATGTTGCAAAATAGTTTTATTTCGAATGTCAACTTGCGAAATGCCAAATTTCGCAAGTAGCATTTGCGAAATGAACATGGACGATTTTAAATGTTTTGTAATATTCGGTACAAAAAAAATGTAATTTCTCATTCTCAATCTCCTTACGAAAGAATGTTGTTTTCCGGAATTGCACGAAATCTTCCGGTTAACAACCCTACCTTAAACCACACTCGTCTTTTGTGTGGAAAGTAATATTTTAATAATAGCAATAATTACAATTATAATAATAATAATAATGCTTATCATTATTACTTTATTATCATTCTAATTATCTATTTATTTGTATTATAAGTTTTATTTATATATTTTATAAATTTATATACTTTATATGATGAATTATTGATAAAACTAATAGGCAAAGCATATAAGTTCCAATTTTTATTTGTAATCTTTATTGTTAACCGTATTATTAACTTTGTTTTTTATTACAGTTTTCAGTACGTATAATTTAAATTCAAAAGCTTATTCAAAAATTTAAATGTTAAAGGAAATATTTCACAAAGCAAAAACTTGCATTCACTTTTACATCTTTAAGATTAAGTGTCAAATACAAAGCCATAAAATCATTTAATATCGCTTTACTGCAGTAAAGCGATATAAACTACTATATTATCATTTTATGTATCATTTGCAAAAATAATTTTTTTTCGTGAATACTCTTTTCAAGCCATATCCAGTTTTATTTGAGTTCAATAAGTGAATTACCTGGAAAATTTCCGAATTTAAATGAAGTTTAACAGGAAGAAACAGTTTTCACACGTTGAAAAGTAATTATTATTATCCTCTTAAACATTATGCTTTCCCTAAAACAAAAATCGTGGCTCGAGATTGTTTATGCAAATACCGTTGGGTTTACAAACACATGATTTCAAGTTCACGTAAATTTGTCACGACACGTCACTTAGCTGCCTCGTTATATCCTCAATGTGTAGATCGTTCCCCAATGTGAAGACATTTGTATTTATTGAATATCCGGGTTTAAAATAAGAAAGCTATAAAATAAAAATACCTCTTCGGAGTTATCCGTTGTCTGTGTCGCTTCAAGCAAAAGGTATATATCTTCGCGGTTGCGATACTCTTTTAATACAATTTTGCTTACAAATGCCAACAACAAAAAACCAACTTTGGTACAACTTTTTAAATAACAAATATATAAATATAAAACAGATTTAAAAATATTATTCGTTTTGTTTTGCTTGCGGTTTGATAGTTCAATATTCACAGAGGAGTTTATTTAAGTTATATAAATTTCCACTTGTGAATTATACATTGGATCAACGTTGATCCATATACATTGAACAACGTTGGGTTATATACATTAAAGTTTAGATTGTAAAAAATTAACATTTGTGAATGTGATACGAAATACAAAAAATATTTTAACATCCCCCGGCACCAAAAAATTCTAAATCCGTGACTGTAATACTATACAAATTTAAAACTTTTCCTTGGAAACAACTTATTGTTGGAAAATAAATCACAAAAGTTTTAACTTATAATAAATTTGAAATAATAAAAATAAACAGATATAAAAAAAGCTACGTATAGTTATAAGATATAATAAAATGTTGTTTATACATATTATTTCAACAACTCATGTCTTTAAAAAAGGGATGTATTTGATGATGATTTTAGTTAGCAAAGACAATATATATTAAATGTTTTGATATAACATAAATTTACTTAATATCCTCAAGTTTATTTAACATCAAATACACAAATGTTTTATATTTCATTTTTTACTTATCTTTTTGTATATGCAAGATTTTTTAAAAGGAAATATTGTATAGATTTTTTAAAAGGAAATATTGTATAGATTTTTTAAAAGGAAATATACTTTTTTTTTGAGAAACATTCTAATTTTTAAACATAAAATAAATTTAATGCTACAATAAAATAGAGGTCTTATTTCATGGTCTTATTTCGTGACTCAAGTGTAAAATTTACTAATTTCAAACTATCGCACTGTTTGCGAATACTATATTCCCAAGATTAATAAAACAAAACAAAAAATTTGATTCTTGGGTAACTCCAAATATTAAAAATCTAATCCGAGAAAAAAAAACTCACATGGTTTATCAACAGTTCAACTGAATGAAAGAATAATGACGTTAAAATATATTACAATTGTTTTAATCGTTTTTATTGACGGATCCAGGATTTTTTGTTTATTGAGAAAGCTAACTTCCAGACATGGAGCAAACTCCAAATATTTGTATGTTTATACTTATGTCAAATAATGAAGATTGCAAAAAATTGCGATATTAGGAGGCTGGGAACGAAAAAGCCCTTTAACTTCATTCCCTCTCCGACCACCACCACCACACAACACACACACACCAAACTTTTACAACTCTAGTTGAGAATAGTAAAAAAAAAAAAAAAATTTTTTTTTTACTATTCTCAACTAGACTTATATTCGTAGATAAATTTTATGTTTCATAGTATTACCTAAAACTATGACCATATAAAGCTTAAACCCCCTCAATTTGAGAGGTTTACAAATTT